GGCCACCACCACCACCACCACCACCAGCACCCGCACCACCCGCCGCACCACGGCGCCGTCAACAGCCACGACCCGCACTCGGACGAGGACACGCCGACCTCCGACGACCTGGAGCAGTTCGCCAAGCAGTTCAAGCAGCGGCGGATAAAGCTGGGCTTCACCCAGGCCGACGTGGGCTTGGCCCTGGGCACCCTCTACGGCAACGTCTTCTCGCAGACCACCATCTGCCGCTTCGAGGCCCTGCAGCTCAGCTTCAAGAACATGTGCAAGCTGAAGCCTTTGTTGAACAAGTGGCTGGAGGAAGCCGACTCCTCCACGGGCAGCCCCACCAGCATCGACAAGATCGCCGCCCAGGGCAGGAAGAGGAAGAAGAGGACCTCTATCGAGGTGAGTGTCAAGGGGGCCTTGGAGAGCCACTTTCTGAAATGCCCCAAGCCCTCCGCCCAGGAGATTACGAACCTAGCGGACAGCCTGCAGCTGGAGAAGGAGGTGGTCAGGGTTTGGTTTTGCAATCGGAGGCAGAAAGAGAAAAGGATGACCCCCCCGGGGATCCAGCAGCAGACCCCCGACGATGTCTACTCCCAGATTCAGCAAAGTCATGCTATATACATACACACACACACACACACACACACCCTCACACTACACACACACGCGCGCACACACACACACACACAAACACACACACACACACGAGATCCAGGCTCGTTCAGACTGCTTGTGTTTATATATATATGGATAGACGCGTGCATCTATATATATATAAGAGCGATACCGATAGGGAGCGGTGGAGAAGGGCGATCCGAGCGATAGCGTTGAATACTGTGTTGGGGAAACGGGGTGGAGATGCGTAATGCACCAAAACTGCAGATGTGTCGGGGGGGTTGTTTGTGGGAAGAAGGGGGTGGCCGGGTGTTTTTGTTTCTGGTTTTGTTTTTTTTTTTTAATTTTATTTCCTTTATTTTTTTTATTCTCCGAATTAGCCCCCTCTTGCAGCGGTGAACAGCACTGATGTCTGCACCTCTTCTCTCCCCTCCTCCCCCTGCGCTCTCCCCCCTATCCCCAGAAGGGCTCTGTTCTATGAATCACGGAAACTTTTTTCTCCTTTCCCTCTCTCTCTCTTTCTCTCTCTCTTCTCTCTCTTTCTCTCTGTCTCTCTCTCTCTCTCTCTCTGTTTTTTTTTTTTTGAATGGGAGCAATCCAAAAGAAAAAAAAAGGGAAGCAGAAGCAAAATAATCTGGTTAATCACAGGGTGCCTGCTGCATTCCAGCACCCTGTTTTCTTGGCCAAACCACACAATTTTGGTGCAAGGTAGACATCCACTCTGAAAACATGCATATCTGTATATCTCTGTATTCTACAAAAAGAAAAGGGCCACTTTTTTTCCCAGGAAAAAAAAAATATGCACACAGCACTAAAAACAAGCAGACTGCATAGGAAGGCAAATACATATATATATATTTATCTATATATATAGGTATAGCTTTAGAGCAAAAATATGGAAATAAAAGCCCGCACACCGAAAGCTGACCCTGAGGAGAAAGGGGGGAGGGACAGACACCGGGGAGGGGGGGAGAAGGAGAGGTTGTTGGTCCCTAAAGTTCGAGCTCTGTAGAAGGACTTTGCATGAATTAAGGGAACCAGCGAGAAAAAGGGAAATAATTTAGGGCTGTCAAAGTCCTGCTCCTGACGGCTGCCAATCATCATGGAAGAGTCATAAAAATCCACTGCTAATATTTTTTTTATTAATATTTTTATTTTTTATTTCTGGACTGATTCAGATAAAGGGATTTAGAAGGACTGAGCATCTGCAGCTGCACTTATCTGAACTTCTCCTCTCCTAAATCCGTTGCCAACTTTGATTGAATGGGTGCTGTGGATGTGATTATATAATACTGCCATTTCCAAGCAGTGTTTTTGGTAGGTTTTAATAAACAGACTTTTCAAAAAGACGGCAATATAGAATTGTTAGATCCGTTGTTGATCTAAAAAAAATTTGCTTTATATTTTCATTAAATGACTTCTTTTAATATTTTATTCAGAATACCTATGAACTGCTGCAAAACGGTAATTTATTTTTTCCCCAGATCTTGTATTACGTGTTTTTTTCAGACGAGCACAAATCAAAATGAAATGAAATATGGACAGTTGTTAGGTAATAAGGGTATCTTTTGATGTGATAATTTGATTGTAATTTAATTTGAGTAGTGATTCCGTAAGAGCTGATTGAGAAAATAAATTTGTTAGAATGAAATAGTCTGTGTCTGATGCATAAACACTGTGTCGAAAAAGTTCTCTGAAGGAAATATTGCAAATACTGAAGTGATAGAATTAATGAAGTACGACCTGCTTTCTGTACACCACTTGTGGTCCCTGGAAATGCAGCGGTCCAGTATTCATGCTGTTACCTTCTTAGCACAAAGCTCACTCTCTATCAATCCGTATCCAGAGCAAATTTCCATAGCCTTTTTCATCAATACAGGGACCCTGTGTCATGGGAAAGTAAGACAAGATTAGAGATGATAAAAGGCCACATTCTCCGAGAAAGTGTTGTATCATTTTAATTTAGGATTGTGCTCCAGTGCAGGAGATGTCTGAGCGTATCAACTGATAATTAATGGCCGATACTGAAAGCAGTGATGTTTCAAAAAGTTCAGTCTTGTTTTCGCTCTTTTCAAACCACGGATTGGGGGGAACTATAAATTATTTTGACGCATTTTATGTCTGTATAAATATTTGTATTTAATTTATCTTTATAATTTAAGGAGAAGGTACTTTTTTTCCCTAAAGGTTATATAGAAATATTACTTTCCGCATCCTACGTACGGTCCGCATAGTTCACCGTTTCTGTTGGCTGTTGTTGCTGTTGCTATCGTTGTTGTTTTAGGCTTTTTTCTGTGGGGTGTGAAGTGGTGTAGCATAGTTTTTCCTTCACTCTGCAATAGTGCTGCCATACCTTCTTTGCAAACAAATGTGTGTGTTAGTAATGTCGAAGATGCCAATAGATGCACTAGCTAGGCTGTCATATTTTATCTGCTAAATTTATTGCAATATACAGACGAGTGAATGACCGTTTCAACTCTCTTCATTTTGAACAGGGGACGTTGTGGGAACTAGATAGCTGCATCTAACGCCTCGAACCGCCCCCACTAATAGTGTACTGGAGAATAAGATTTTCGTTTATTATCCATCTAGTCCGTGGCTCCTTCCATTAAAAACCCAGAAAACTGCTGTAGAAACAACAAACATTTCTTCCTTTCAGATAGGTCTTGTGTCACTTTCATAAATCAAACCCACCCGGATAGCCGTGTACGGGGATGCATTATTTTAGCGCCAGATTGTAGTAAATATCACCGTCGTTTTGATTTGTGAAATCCGAAAGGCCAGGCTAACACGGAAGAAGGGGGAAGGAAAAAAAAAGAGGAGGAAAAAGAGAAAGAAAAAGAAAACCCGCGAGGGTAAAAGGCGTTATATCTTTTGTTCGTTCTAAGCAAAAGCTTCTCGCTAATTTTGCAGTTTGGAAGGGGAAAGGCTTCATCGATTTGGCTGCATGCAGGAGAAATCGGAGAATGGACTTCCAGGTTGGAAGCAGTGGGTTTGTTTTTATGTGGTGGATACTATTAACACGTGAGGTGGAATCCTATTTTTCACACATGAAGGGCAGTGGTTTATTAGACATGGAGAAGGTCTATTTAAATTTCTTAGTGGTATTTGGTTACTGGATTTGGATGGCAACAAAGAGCTAACATTAGGCTTCACACTGTTTTCTATTAAACGGCAACCTTTGCGGTTTTCTGTGTCAGAAAAGCTGTTTTTTAGGCTAGATGAGTAACATTTGGTTGTAGAGACCTGCAAAATGTGCCCATTCCGTGTACTTATTATGCACAAAAAGTGAGGCCATGGTCGCTCCCCCTCCTCCCCGAGAAATTGAATCCTTTGAATGTATTTAGGAATTTCAGGGTTGTGAGTCTATGAGATAACAAGAGGTAGATAACAATTGAGAGGTTTTGCGTTAAGGGTAATATTGTTACACGTGTAAATAATGAAAATATTGTTATATATCGCCAGATCTCTTAATGAATTTAGTAATTGTATTCATTTATAATATCAGTGTTCTGTGCTTGGTAACTGAGTCGGCACCATTTTCCTTATTCTTTTTTTTTTTTTTTTTTTCCTACCTAAAGGAAAGCCAAATGTTTTACGAAGTTATGTTTGGTCAGTCTGGGTAATCCCGAGATGTGATTATTTATAGTTTACATTTTCATATCCTGCGGTCCTCTACTACGCCCTAGTCTTCTCACTCACATCCCATCCTTCCTCCGTCTAGTCTGTATACAATAAATCATTTTCAGGTGTATTTAAAATAGTCATCTCACTCCTGTTGATCCGCATATTTTCCGGAATCTAGCAAAGAGTTCTACCTTGGTTTATAAACACAGCGGTTCATATCTGAAGTGATCTTTAAAAAATCCTTATGCTTTAATGTAGTGACTCGTGTTTGCACATTACAATGCTCATAACTTGTTTTGTATGAATGGTTTTAAATGGAACGTTTAGAGAATAATTGGTTCTAATATGAAATGCAGTATATACTATTGATAATTTTATCAATAAGTGTAATATTTTAAATAATTTTAACAATTAAATTTGTTTTTTTAAATTATATATTTGTAAAATATTTTTCCTGTTGAAAGCAACAATATATTGTTGTATTTATTCGTTTATTTTTGTAATAAATGATCAACATCTTCAAGCTAAAGAAAAATCGATACTTCTATATATTTATACAGATATACCTTTTTAAAGCGCAGAGATATTTGTTCTAATTTGCATGTAAATACCAAAATGCATTTGTAACTGACAGGCTTCAGGACAAAACTGTAGGCATGAGCTTCTTCGCCACATGTAGTTTAGTTTGCTTAAGTTCCAGGGTAATTAATCAAACTCTAAAAGGGAAGCAACAAGTACTGGCCTTGGATGCAGGCTTGGAATGAGTGATTTAGGGCTAGGGAGCGATTTTGATAAGACCAGGAATATGGATATTGGAAGGAAATTGGTCTTCTGTAGCCAGACGGATGGATGAAATGAACGGAGGAGATACGTGTGGATAGTTACCCCATAAATATTTTCAGTTGCAGTTTGAACTAATTGAATGGGTGCAGTCTTCAATAGGAGGTTTGAAAAAAGGAGAAAGAAAGGAAGCGAGCGACCCCGTGGTATCAATGACACAGCAGTAGGGAGCTTTTTTTTTTTTTT